CAGAGGTGTTGAACTCATTTGTTACAAGGGCCGGATCCGACACAAATGTCACTTTGTCGGGCCGGGCCGGACCATGTGTGCCATAAAACGTAATGCCGGAGATATAAACTGTATAAAGGACAGCAGCTGGTAAGCTCTGAGTTGGTGCATCTTCACTGCAAGGCCCCATGGGCTGGGAGGGGGGTGCAAAGGAAAACCCGCATGGGCAGACTGGAGAGCCAACGGTGCAGCACTGAGCAGACGCTCCCACACGGCTTGACTGCTGCAGACGAGGTTGTTCCGCCATGCTGAAGCCACAATCGGAGTGGCTCCACCCACTCCCCCCGGAGCAGTCTCCCCTACCTTGCACTAGTTGCTCGCGGGCTGCATAAGAGCCCTGGATGGGCCAGTTCCGGCCCCCCGGCCTTACGTTTGACACCCCTGGTATAAAACATATAATAAACACTGTTCCAACCCCCCGGGCCTCCGGAGGGTCTCCTCTTCTCCATTCCTACTCCGCCCGGTATTTCTTATCTTTCCTGTTGCAGCCACACTATTCGCTGCAACTCCCTGCATTTCAAACATTTTTGCAAGGTCTCAAAACGGGGAGTTGAAGCAAAGCATGAAAATTGAAAGGGAGTGTGTGTGGAGAGGGAATGTATCTATTTGCATTCTTTGCTTTGAGTGCTGGAGAGGAATGCTCTTCCTAGTTGGAAGCGGTTATTTGGTTCTGATGCAAAACGCAGGCAGATAGGTCTGATGTGTTTGTGCTGCTCCTCTCTCTCTTTTGGGCGCTTAGAACCATTCTCCGCGGAACGTTATCGGCTGCTTTTGTGTAGGAGGCTGGGGGGGGGAGATACATTCTTTCGAATACGCAAAACCCGAAGAGCCAAGTCCACAAACAAGCAGCCCTTGTGTTCCCAGCCGTAACAGAAATACCCTGATATCAGACTCCTCCTCATTGCCTCCACTCTGCATAAGCTCGTCTATTGTTGCTCCTTCCCACCCCTCCCTGGTCTCCACTAACTCCAAACTCTACACGTCTTACTGAGCTCCTTCATATGTTGGAAACAGCTTTCTCTGTTCATTGGGCCACCTGTCTCTGAAGTCCCTAAGGTGTTTGGGGGAGGGAGGCGGGGGACCCCAAACGGTCTTGACATTTTAACAGGGAAGTGCAACAGGGAGAACTTCAAAAGAACGCAAATCTTCAAAGATCCCCATTTTCAAAGGAGTTTGGCTGTTACGGCTTTCCCTAAAGAATCCTGGGAACAGTGGTTTGGGTGAGAGGAGTAAGAATTCTCTGAAAGAGCTTCCTAGCCAGGGGCGATCTAGCTAATAGCTAATTTGCACCCTGTGATGTTCAGGATGAAGGAATCACTGGCAGCCTTCAAGCAGCGGCTGGACAGACACTGGTCGGGGATGCTCTAGGCTGATCCTGCATGGAGCAGGGGGTTGGACTAGATGGCCCGCATGGCCCCTTCCAACTCTGTGATTCTAGGATTCTAGAGCTACATCTCCCCAGGGTGGTAGGGTTGCCAACTCCAGGTTCAGGAACACCTGGAGATTTGCAGGTGGAACCTGGGAGAACGGTCTTTAAGGGGGCGAAGGATCTCAGTAGGGTATAACGCCATGCGGTCCACCTTCCAAAGCAGCCATTTTCTCCAGGAGAAGTGGAATAAAGGTTTTAAATGATGAAGAAGAAGAAGAAGAAGAAGAAGAAGAAGAAGAAGAAGAAGAAGAAGAAGAAGAAGAAGAAGAAGAAGAAGAAGAAGAAGAAGAAGAAGAAGAAGGTGGTCTTGTTCCCCTCCCTTCACTTCCCAAAGGTGTCTCAGAGCGGCTTGCAAACTCCTTTCCCTCCCCCTCCCCACAACAGACACCCTGTGAGGTAGGTAGGGCTGAGAGAGCTCTTGACAGAAACTGCTCTTTTTCAAGGACAGCTCTTATCAGAACTGTGGCTTGCCCAAGGTCATCCAGCCAGGTGCAAGTGGAGGATTTGGGAATCAAACCCGGTTCTCCCAGATTAGAGTCCACGCACTTAGCCACTACACCAAACTGGCTACATAAGCTATGTAGTCTGCAGGTGTGATTCTGGGGGATCTCCAGCCTCCACCTGGAGTTTGGCAACCCTATGAGGTAGGGTGGAGCGCTCTCTAGATCCAAAGGATGCCTGCAGAGGTCAAAGAGATGAAGCTAGAGGCCCTGCAGTCTATAGTTGCAAGATCACAAGGAAGGCTTTAAATCAAAGCCGTTTCCTCTGAGAAGGGCTGGAAATCGTCACAGTGTCAAACTCGAGCCTTCGTTTGCCATAGATTGCTCTTGTTCTGTTTTGTGACCTATGTACTTGCATTGCTCTGTTTCTGTGGGCGGTGGTGGGAGTGCATGTGTGGGTGTCTGGGAAGGCTTTGCTGCTGTGCTGATTTACAACTGTTTTCCAAGAGGGCCTGTGGCGTGCTTGCTATTTGGAGGGATACTGTTTTTTTCCTTTAAACCACCCTCCATGTATATAAACTTGGTAGTTTTCTGCTGCCACCAGGAATTAAAAATCCCAATTCTCTCTCCTTGGGTAGTATGACCCAGGGTCTGGGCACTTCAGAGGACTATGTGGCCCTCAGGAAGGACTGTACTGATTTCTGAGATATGTTTAAACAAAAATTGATTTATTGAATAAAGAACAAGATATGTTTCGGATTATCTTGAACTGTTTCTGGAAAAAGGAACTTATAAATATAACTGGCAAGGTGTCACACACAATCTCTCAGACACCAGAATTCCACCCTGGCTAAGCTCTTTGTCTTAGGCACACAAAATCAAACATTTGTCTAACCACACAGTTTCTTTGCCTTATAGACTCTCTCACAAAACATTTAGAGGCACACAGACTCTCTTAATAGCTCTTTCCACACTTCACTTTCCAAAGCAGGGTATAAATCCAATCTTCTTCTGCTACTGCTGCTGTGAATTTGTCTTGGGTTCTGATCTCGCCTCTGCTGCAAACTCACCCAGTGGCCTTCGACAAGCCTCTCTCTTTCGGCCCCCGCCACTTGCAAACTGGGGGGAAATAATACTGACCCCACCTCGCAGGGTAGTTGTGCAATGTTCCCTCTAAGCTGTGGAGTCTTGTGAGCAAAAATTCTACTTTGTGAGCTACTGGCATTAAAGTTGTGAGCGAGCGATTTGGCTGCTGCATAAATTAGTCTGCTCTGGAGCCATCCTTCCTGAGCTAAGACAAAAATGTGTGAGCCAGAGGCTAAAAATCTGTGAGCTAGCTCACACCAACTCAGCTTAGAGGGAACTATGGTTGTGAGCAGTGTTCCCTCTAAGCTGAGTCAGTGTGAGCTAGCTCACAGTTTTCTAGCCTGCGGCTCACACATTTTTTTCCTTAGCTCAGGAAGGATGGCTCCAGAGCAAACTAATTTCTGCAGTAGCTAAATTGCTTGGTCACAACTTTAATGCCAGTAGCTCACAAAGTAGAATGTTTGCTCACAAGGCTCCACAGCTTAGAGGGAACGTTGCACAGAACTCTGTCTTAAAACACACACACAGATTCCTCTCAGAACATCTCTTCCCACACTCTCAGTCATCAGCCAGTCGCAGCACACTCATCTTCCCCTATTGCCCTCCTTGCAATACTGCAGTCAGACTCAACATTTAAAGACACACACCCACCAAAACATGGAATCATTACAGGGCCTCCTGAGCTGGGAAAAAAGTTACAGGACCTTGACTACTAGTCTTTGCTAGCTGGCTTCAGTAGATCATGAAACGGTAGGTTCACAGGTGGGGGATGGAGAGCTAATGGAGCACGCTAGATTTAGGGGGGCTGAATGAATGGCTTGACTGGTTAAAGCATTGGGGGGGGGGGGGCTTGTTTGAATCATGTATAATACCTGAACTGGCACCAAAAGAGTAAGTTCTGACACAAGATGGTCTTAGCTGGCTACATTCTCATCTCTCAATAAACAAATCACTGCAAGGAGAGTGTTGTTGGGAATAGGTTTGTTCAAGAGTCTGACACACAATGCTGAGCTCCCCTTCCCCACAACCAGTGTTCCCTCTAAGCTGAGTTAGTGTGAGCTAGCTCACAGTTTTTTAGCCTCCGGCTCACACATTTTTGTCTTGGCTCAGGAAGGATGGCTCCAGAGCAAACTGATTTATGCAGTAGCCAAATTGCTTGCTCACAACTTTAGTGCTAGTAGCTCAGAAAGCAGAATTTTTGCTCACAAGACTCCACAGCTTAGGGGGAGCATTGCCCACAACTACAGTTCCCAGGGAACTCCCAAGAGGGGAGAGGAGGAGGAGGAGGAGGAGGAGGGAGAAGAAAAGTAGAAGAGGAGGAGGAGATTGGATTTATACCCCACCCTTCTCTACCTGAAAGAGGCTCAGAGTGGCTTACAATCTCGTTTCCCTCCCCCACGACAGACGCCCCGTGAGGTAGGTGGGGCTGAGAGAGCTCTTTCGAGGAATACTCTTGAGAGAACACCTCTGAAAGAACTTATTACTGACCCAAGGTCACATCAGCAGCTGCATGTGGAGGAGTGGGGAATCAAACCCGGTTCTCCTCCCAGATTAGAGTCTGCATTCTTAACCACTACACCAAAGGAAAGGGAATATCACTGCTTTGACACTAAGTGCATATGCCTCATTGCAGGCAGGTGGTAGGCTGCTGGTGGAAAGTCCCATCCAGTCACAGCCAGGGGTTTTCAATGCAAGAGACATACAGAGATTCGCCATTGCCTGTCTCTGCGTAGCGAGCCTGGACTTCCTTGGTGGTCTCCCATTCAAGAAATAACCAGGACCGACCCTGCTTAGCTTCCAAGATTTGCTGAGATCGGGCTAGCCTGGGCCGCCCAGGTCAGGGTGATGGTAAGCTAGCAGTTTTCAAATATCTCTGAAAAGCTGTCAGAAAATGGAAGCATCCGAGTCACGATGGCGCTGTTCTCTGGAACATGGGATGCCCATCCTATGGAAGCATCTTCCCACCTAAATAGGCAGACAGGCCACCTGTATCTAAAGGATCTCACCTGGGCAGACCGCCGAGGTCCCACTCGGAGCAGATGTAAGGTCCTGGACGCAGAATCACCCACAGCCCGACTTCCGCAGCTGTTTTAATGAAAGCCCTGGAGGGGGATTGAAACGAGTGTTAGGCAGTTCCAAAGTATGGTACGTTTTGGTCTGCACAGAGGCCTAAAGCAGGAGGAGTGAACATCTGAACAGTGCAATTTATTAGGAAGCCACAGCTGAGTTAGCTGGTTGCTTCAAACAATTCTGAGAAATTCAGTCCTCCTTACTTCTTCCGCTCTTGCCCATTTCCACTTTTTTCTCTCTTTACACACACGCCCCCTTGCCCCCCCTTCTTCTGTACCTCCCCCCACAGTTATTGGCCCCCTACCACCTCCTTTCCTTGATCCCCCACACATTGTTTAGGTCCTTTTCCCTTTATCCCTTACATTTGCCGAGCTCCTCTGTGACATCACAGAAGGACAGCCAATGGCCGCCCAGGATGCAATACTATTACCGTGTATCACAGCACATTCAAATGTAGGTTATTCCCGCCAATTACAATTATGGTCAGAACCCACAGTGTAGTATGGCATCAGTTAGCAATGAGAAATGTGGGATTTGAGCCTATTGCAAAACAACTGCACAAGTTCTTCGCTACGGACCCAATTCGGCCTACATTCCTCCAGCCCGCCTTCGAAGTCTTGGGAACCGAACCTAAGACAGACATGGTGGACACCCTCTTACTAAGCATGTCCTGAAATTTTCAGATGGATGAAAATGAGATATGGTCAACAGGGACTGAAGGGCCCTATTCTTTACCTCTTTTGATATTATATACTTCTTCCAGAAGCATCCAAAAGTGGCTAATATACAAAAAAAGGGGTTGAGCAGAAGGTCTTTTACTCTGGCCCACTAAGCCAGTGGTGGCGAACCTATGGCACGGGTGCCAGAGGTGGCACTCAGAGCCCTCTCTGCGGGCACGCATGCCATCGCCCCAGCCAGGCCCAGACCATCATTAAAGTGTCGAATTCTCTGCCAAATAATTTAAAGTAAATGAAAGCATTTGGGATTGTTTTCCTTACTTTGTTTGGATCATCTTAAGTTAATGTATGAGTTGTTTTTTTCTAAAGTAAAACCTCAGTATTCAGGTTAAATTGCCGTGTTGGCACTTTGCGATAAATAAGTGGGTTTTGGGTCGCAGTTTGGGCACTCGGTCTCTAAAAGGTTTGCCATCACTGCACTAAGCTATTAACACTGCCCATAACACAACTTCACCTTGACTGCAGAGAACAGCATCTGTTTCGACCCCAAGCCACTCTTTCATACTGAAGGAGCTGGTTTTCATACCCTGATTTTCTCTACTTTAACAACAGAAAACACCACGTATAAACATACAACATATGCATATAATGTTTAATGAAAATATATATTGCGTGTAACGTATTAAATAAGTATAATCATATTATAGGTATTTACATTCATATATAGGCAATCAGATGCATAACAAGGAATATAAAGGGAACAGTCCAAATATTCTCCCATCGAAATAGCTAGTTTCTGTACGTAACCCAAAAGTTGTATTGTATCTCAGAGCTTGCTGCTATAAATACTACTTTTGGATTACGTTGTACAGAAACTAGCTATTTAGATAGGAGAATATTTGGACTGTTCCCCTTATATTCCTTGTTATGCATCTGATTGCCTGTATATGAATAATATGGGCTGCGGTCACACGGAGCATTAGCCACGCTGCATAGACGGAAGAGAGATGGACTTTCCGGGCGAGATCTCACCACAACATCTGGGGAGTGTAGAGCTCCCGTGGCTCACCCGAGGCTTCCCGCCGAAGCCGCGCAGTAAAAAACTAGTACCTCTGAGGTACTAGTTTCCGGGAACTGAGTGGCAAGAGCGGGCGTCTGATCGCGTCCCTGCCGACTCCCGTGGCATCCGGCGCCCGCTGGGTTGTCCCCCCCCATGCCTCCGGAAGCACCCAACAGTGCATGCGCACAAAGACGCGCGGTGTCGTTGGGGCCGAGGGAGGGCCACAGGGGCTTCGATGGGGGTGAGTGGCAGCGGCCAGGCGGAGAGCGGGCCGCGTGTCCCGGGGAGGGAGGGATGGAGGGCGGCCGGGCTACTGGTAGGGAGGGGGGATCTGGCGGGTTACTCCCCCCTCCCCTCCCCGTGAGCGGCCCAGGACCCTGCCCGGAGTGGGCTGTGCACGGTCCTCCCAGAGGCGGCGGCTCCATCCCCTTTCCATCGGCCGGATGCTCTTTGTGGAGGTGCGGACACTCATGTGATCAGCACCTCCACCCTAACCACGGGACCTCGCCGGTACGTCTGATCCCGCATCTGCGCAGTATTCTGCCCCGGGGCAAACAGCCATGCTTCCCCCTACCGCATTTTCCTGCCCGTGTGGCCACAGCCATGATTATACTTATTTAATACATTACACACAATATATATTAAACATTATTTGCATATATTCTAATGTTTATACACGGTATTTTCTATTGTTTTGTACTCATTCCACCGTGACCCCCCCTTTTTTTGTTGTTTCTCTACTTTAAGGCATCTCACAGCAGCTTACAATCTCCTTCCCTTCCTCTCCCCACAACAGTCACCTTGCGAGGCAGGTGGGGCTGAGAGAGTTCTGTGGGAACTGTGACTGACCCAAGGTCGCCCAGCAGGTTTCATGTGGAGGAAGAGTGGGGAATCAAACCCGGCTCTCCAGATCAGAGTCCACCGCTCTTAACCACTACACCATGCTGGCTCTATTTCCTCCTTTTATTCCGCCTGGGCAGAGTTCATTCAGGAAACTCTTGGAAAGCTGACCAAATTTCACCTCCAGAGGAAGATAGGAGTGGCCAGGGAAGGGAATGCTATACGGGGTATGTCCTTTGAGAGTTTAACAGTGTCGTTTCATCCTTCAGTTGAACTTGACAGAAATTGTAGGAGTGACCCCCGGGAATTTCCTTCTCAGTCAATGGGTTTTTTGAATTCACTCTGGAGAGCTTCCAGCTGGCGGAGGGGGTAGAATACGGCTCTTACACAGCCCTTCTGACCCTGTCAGAGGGTTCACGGTCCCATGAAACCCTCTCCGATGTTGTGCAAACGGAACAAAATTGAATACCTGCTCCTTCCCCCAGTGAACCTGGTTCATCACAATAAAAGGAATGTTCAGGCTGCAGATCTCCCAGCTTTATTTTGGGTTTTTTAAGCGACGGAACACTTGATCCCTAAATACTTACTGCAAATCCAGGTTTCCACTGAAGTCAAACTTCCCTTTTGCTGCTTCGTGTAGATTCCACGGAACATACCTGAAGAACATAGAATCGGTTGGCTGTGCAGCTCAGTGGTGGAGTCAGGGTCGAAATAACAAAGCAAGGAATTGGCTGCCTATCTTTGCCTCGGGACCTCGGAGTGCTCTGAAGCAGAGATGAACCACCAGTAGCCCAGGGCCGACTGCTCCCCCCACCAAGCTATTTTACCAGCCCCCTGGAGGCCCTACCAAATTTAAGCCAAGGTATTGGAAAATGCTAGTCTGCTGTCTCACTCAGAAAAAAAGGAAGGGGAAATATTTTAAAACTGTAGCAGAGATCTTGCACCTTTATGTGTCACATCCCATATGAATCGGGGACGTAACATGCACAGAATACATAATGGTACAGCTTTGCATGTCATGCCACGCCTGAATGCATGGGCTCCTGCCACTAAATGACCCTGACTTTATTCTGGATCTTGACCAATGGAGATAAAAAAATAAGGCCAAGGCCGATGGTGCAAAGTCAGGTAAAATATATTTTATCACTCAGTTGAATTAAAAAATCCCCTACGCATTTCGCCGACAGGCTTCGTTGGGGGAATCTGTCCGTCTTGCAGGAATTCTTCAAAAAGAGTAAACGATTTATCCCTTCTTTTATTTTGTATTCCCTCAAAAAGTTCAAAATAGAAATTATGTTTAGAAAAGAGTAAAAGATCGGTAGCGCTACTGCCAGATGAACAGATCTGAAGAACTACTGCAAGGAGAACAGATTCCCCTGACACAGCCTGTTGGTGAAACACGTAGGGAATTTTTTTGAAATTTAACTTAGTATAATATATTTTTGCCTGATGTTGCACCATTGGCCTTGGCCTTATTTTTTAATCTCTTGTGACTGGTGTGGCTCGTCATTTTCTTGATCTTGACCACTCACAGGGTGTCGCAGTCATATGTGCGACAAAACACACCTGTGTGTGTAAATACACACCGACAACCAGTGACGTGTAGCAGTTAGAGAATCGGGCTGGGACTAGGGAGACCCAAGGGCAAATCCCCACCCAGCCTACCCTCCTTCACAGGGCTATTGTGAACATCGAATGGCAAAGTGGACAGCCATGGATACCATCCTGAGTGTAATATCTTATATCCAGAGGATATCAGGGCTCTGCAGGATTTATTGCAATTCCACAGGGCCTGCGAGACGGAGCTCTTCCACCAGGCGTTCGACTGAGGAGCCGCATCTAACAGTTCAACAGAGGTTAAGACCCTAAGCCCTGGAAAGTGCTATTGGTGGCCCATGCTGCACTGGTACAACTGAAATATGTTATGGAACTTGGACATGGCAGTCTGGTGTTCCTGTTACCAATGCTCATTCTAAGCTGTGGAGTCCTGTGAGCAAAAATTCTACGTTATGAGCTACTGGCATGAAAGTTGTAAGCGAGCGATTTGGCTACTGCATAGATTAGTTTGCTCTGGAGCCGTCCTTTCTGAGCTAAGGCAAAGAACCGGGAGCCGGAGGCTAAAAAAACTGTGAACTAGCTCACACTCACTCAGCTCGGGGGGAACACTGCATGTTACCCAGCCCGTTTCCGCCGCGACGAGATCTGGGCAGCAAAGACGGGCAGCACTTACGTGGTGAGTGTGTTCAAGCCGCACGCTTTCATCTTGAGCAGGCGGTCTCTCCAGTACTCTCGGGGGACCCGGAAATAGTGCACCGACCCTCCAAAGATGCGAAAGGGCAGGCCCTCCAGCAGGAACTGCGAGTCTTCGGCCTGCAAGCCCAACACCCGGCCCCACATCCTCATGGGGACCAGGTCGCTCCAGTTAAACCTAGAACGGGAAGGGAAGAACTCAGCAGAGCAGGGTCCTGGGCAAGAAAGGGAATGCGCAAAGCCACGGGCACGGAATCAGCTTGGCATCCTGGACTCTACTAAGCCACGTTACAGAGAGGAAGGGAAGGCAGGACGTTCCGGGACGACTTTTGCATCACTGAGACCCCGAGGGGGAAAGATGCAGGCCAACCCTGCAGAACCCGGGATTACCCAAGCTGAAAACAACCCACCGGAAGCCCAACAGAGATTCCTGCTTGGGGGACCGCCTGCTTCTAAACATGAGGCAGGCGGGGTGGAGGCAGCTGCCCCAATGGCTTTGCACTCATCCAGCATTTTGCTTCAACTGGGCTGCTGCCTGCACAGGGCTTCTCTCCAGAGTCTCCAGCCAGTTTGGTGTAGTGGTTAAGAAGAAGAAGAAGAGGTTGGATTTATACCCCACCCTTCACTTGGAGTCTCAGAGTGGCTTACAAACTCCTTTCCCTTCCCCTCCCCACAACAGACACCCTGTGAGGTGGGTGGGCCTGAGAGAGCTCTGACACAAACTGCTCTTTTTCAAAGACAGCTGTGCCAGAGCTTGTGACTGACCCAAGTTCACACTTGCAGGTGCAAGTGGAGGAGTGGGGAATCAAACCCGGTTCTCCCAGATTAGAGTCCACGCTCCTAACCACTACACCAAACTGGCGCGCGGACTCTAATCTGGGGGAAATGGGTCTGATTCCCCACGCCTCCACTTGCACCTGGCTGGATGACCTTGGGCAAGCCATAGTTCTGATAAGAGCTGTTCTTGAAAAAAGAGTCATTTCTGTCAAGAGCTCTCTCGGCCCCACCTACCTCACAGGGTGTCTGTCGTGGGGAGGGGAAGGGAAAGGAGTTTGTAAGCCGCTCTGAGACACCTTTGGGTAGTGAAGGGCGGGGTATAAATCCAATCTCCTCCTCCTCCTCCTCCTCTTCTTCTTCTTCAGAGTCGCATTTAAAATCAGGCCAGAGGACTACTGAGACAGGAAGGGGCTCACCAAAGACCAGGGCCCGTTCTTCCGAACGGCAGCTGATTCAACGGCCACAATTCCAGAAGAGCCGGCTGCGGGCCCTTCTAGCTTGCAGAATTCTAGGGCAGGAGAGGCTACAAAAACGATGGCCAGCGTCTGTGGCACGTGATGAGGACCCGGTTTGCGGGACTGAGGACCCGGCTGAGGGTTCGTCAAACCAGGCAGAGGAGTCCTTGTGGAGTTCTCTCACTGATTCAAGACCTTTGTGCTCTCCTACGCTGAAATCCGTGCCACTGTGCTCAGCGGCCGCCAAGTCCGTGGACCATCTGCTCCATTTCTTGCTCTCGATACCCTTCTTTTCCCCTCTCCCAAAGCTATCGTCTCAGGGAGCCTTTCCTTCTCATTCTCCCCACCTATTCGTTCAGCCTTGCTCTCTGGCGATCATTTTTCCTCCAAACGTTTCCCAAATTGCATACATTCTCCTTTGACCATGAGCAAAAAAAAAAAGTTTACAGGCTGGAAGCCTCTGAACCAGTCTCTGAAAACATTCAGAAAGGTGCTGTCCAGCCCGTGGAACTCGAGGATAATTTTCGACAGAGAAAATTTCTCCAAGCGTGTTAATGGGAACTCGAGTTTCTGACTACAAGTCAGAGGTGAAGAGAAAGTGAGAAAGGTGCCCATGAGGTTCCTGGCAGTGGATCTAGCAGGAAAGGGGCCAGTCTTTCCAGTTCTCCACCCCACAACAACTCACAGGTCTTTTGTTTGTTTGGCCGATAAGGGTGGCCGATAAGGACCTTAGATCTTGGAACAGGGCTATGCAGGGGTCATTTCGTAGAAAAAGAGATGTAGGAGCTCATTAGCATAACTTATTTGCATATGCCACACACCCTGGCATCACTGGACGTGGGTCAGAAGGCAATACCCACCGCTCAGGCTCCACTGGACTGTTTTGGATTGCTAGCTATTGGGGGGGGGGAATGTGCAGATCTGCCCTCACAGAGGAGGGAGAGCTTGTACCTGAAGGCGGGCCGAGGGGGGGCTCTGCAACTTACCTGGCTGCCTCTTGCTCCTCGTGGCCCGACTGAGGGCTGCTGGGAGCAGGGGCGGGGCCTGTTACATGTGCCCGCCCCCTGGGCTCCTTACTGCCGGAGCTCCGCTCCTGTGCGCTCCCGCAGGAAATTACCCCCGGGGGCTACGTATACTACAACTGATAGCCATGCCAGGATCCAAAGAGCTGTATACCAGCTTCCCTAAACACACAGTGTCTTTTGATTCCCACCCCCTCCCCAAAGGCTCTTTTGGTCTTCACTTCAACATTTCCTCAAGACAGAGAGCTGAGGAGACAGTGGCTTGCCCTAAGCACACCGAGTAAGTCTGTGGCAGAGGCGAGGTTCAGATCTCAGACTACCTGGAACCAAACCGCCGTCTGGCTCGACCGAAGTGACGCAAAAGAATACTTTCAAAAGTGGAGTGCCGTGACACGCACACACACACACACACGGTATGTTGGCTTCCACAAGGAACAAGCCCAGCTTTCTTAAGTGGCACTGCCAGGCGTACTTTGCAGAAAACGGAAACATGAAAAACCCACACGCTTCCACCGGAGAAGTGTTTCTGCAGTGCGTGGGGGAGCTGGGGAGGAACCGCTAGCTGCGGAACAGCTTAGAAGAAAGGGGAGACACGAAGGGAAGGGAAGTGGATCTTTTTTTTTTTTTAAGGAGTGTGTCCCTCCACAGTCCTGCTGGGAAACGGAAGGAGCGAGGGATGCTATATGCTACCGGGCTGAGAACGAGGGAGACACTTTCTTTCTAAGCAGAAAAGCTCACAGGGTGGGGAGTCCTTCAGGGCGAGGCGGAAGCCTGGTGCCCCAATGAGGCTTGCAAAGAGTAAAACCAAATATATACATATTGGGTTCTGAGTTACAACACGACACCACGGAAACTAAACTGAAAGCTGCCGGACAGCTTGGAAACAGGGCTGCCGAGAGGAAGGCGGGGCCTCGGGGGGGGGTCACCCTGGGGAACAGGGCGAGGGGCCACTGGGGTGTGGCCGTACGCATCGGGGAGGCCCCTAAACTGAGGAGAAAGGAAGAGGCAAGTGTGACCTGGGACCAGACCATTTCCGCGGTAGCGAAACCCCCCCCCCCCCCCCCCCGCATTGGTGTTCTTCAAACTGCACGTCGTGTGAAATTCTCCGCAGTAGATTTTTCCACACCAGGCACAAAAAAGCAGACTTTTCTCCTTCTTACCCCGTGTTTTCAGAACTCGCTGAAGCCGGGGATTCTAAAAACGTGCGGTAAGGAGGAGAAAACTTGGGTTTTGCGGCTGGTGAGGAAGAATCTACTACGGAAAATTTCACAAAATGCGCGGTTTTAAAAACGTCAAGGCGGGGAATTTCACTCCTGCAGAAATGGTCCCAGTCTCTCTGTGTCTCGCAGCCTTCCCCTCCAAAAATGGACGATTAACTATTGGGGGAGGGAGCCCAGGTATCGCTCTGACCTCCTCGGAGTTAGGACAAAAGGTAAACGAGAGCCAGTTAGCAACCTACCCGTGCTGGCAGCGTCAAGTGCAGTGAAACGCCTTTCTTGGTGTCCACCAAGTGTTTTTAGAAAGTTGGCAGGGCAGGTGGAGCTTTTGTCCAGCAGGGTTTCTGACTGGCTGTTGTGGCCACCACAGCACAAGGATCTTCACGCAAGGGAACATTTTAAAACACTGCGTTCATTTTAAAAGGCATCCCGCTACACAGAGCTCCTGCCTACAGTGTTGAAGAGCTACTAGTACAGTTACGCGTGACCTCACTCCCTGATATTTTGTGGCTGGCTCCGCCTCTTGTGGCAGCCATTTTGTGGTTAGCTCCACCTCCTGCTGGAGCCATTGTGCGGCCACACCCACCGCCCTGTGTCAGGATTCTGAAGGTGGCCCACAGGCTCAAAAAGGTTGAGAGCTCCGGATGTAGAGTGTGGGAATAAGATCTGGCTTTAAATTCTTAGTGGGCGGCCTTGGACCAGTCCTTTTTTTTTCTATGCCTGACCTAGCTCACGGTGTCACTGTGGGGGCAAATCAGAGGAGGGGAGAACTGTTGTATCACCCTGAGCTCCTTGACAGGATAAAAATGCAATAGCTGGACAGATGGAAATGATTTCTTTTCATATGATGCTTGGATGGGGTTTGGGCATTGCGAAGGAAGCCCCAGGGGGAATCTTTGTCCAGGGCCCCTGGGAGCTCTCGGCAGCCCGGCTAGGAAGGGCTATCTAAAAAGCACCGATACTACCTCTGTACCACCACCACATCCCCGCAGGCCTCGGAAAGAACCAGCAGGCAGGGATAATACCTGGAAAAGGAAGTCCAGATTAAACATAGCTTAATCACGCGACACACTGAGATTTGAAACAGTTTACATTCTGAAAGCCGGACGATCAATGTGGTAAAACAGAAGATGAACATTCAACGCTCTCCCGGTGTTCTTCCATTATTAACAGCAGGCAAAGGATGGTTTACCCCGTCGGTTCTAGCGATCCTGGGCACAGCAGGGTTCAGCCTTCCCACCCACCCCTTAAAATACAGTTCAGGTTCAGAATGGCGCATCCACAAAAGTGGCTCATTCAGAAAGATCCAGACCTCCCAAGAAAAAATCGCCCAACCTTTGCATATAGTAAAGGGTGCAGAAAAAGGGAGTTTCAACCCATTATCCATTATTAAAACGGAACTCAGAGGAGAAAATGGAGCTGCGGTGGCTCAAGTGGTTAAGACGCTGAACTGCAGGCTGTGGAAGGTCAGTAGTTCAGCGGTTCGAGACCCGGGTGCCGCATGATGGAGTGAGCTCCCATCTCTGGTTCCAGCTCCTGCCAACCTAGCAGTCCGAAAGCAAGAAATTGCAAGTAGATAAATAGGTACCACTTTGGTGGGAAGGTAACAGCGCCTTGGTGTTTAGTCATGCCGGCCACATGACCATGGAAACGTCTTCGGACAGCGCTGGCTCTTCGGCTTGGAAACGGAGATGAGCACCGCAACCC